AGAAGAAAATACAAAAACAGAAAATATAATAATTAAAAAAATAACAAAAACTATTATAGTATCTCAATGATGTATCTCAATGAAAATGGTAACATGTTTTTCCATTACTTTAACTCATCAAATTAATAAAAAAAAAATTTTATCTAATTTTCAACTTCATTTTTAGTTACAATATTTAATTAATTTGTAACTATTTTCTTTTCTGTAATTTAAGTTGAAATGACACAGCCAGTTTGATTATACTTAAAAATTTAGTATAATCACTAAGTTGAAATAGGTGGATTTTTTCATTATTTTTGTATGCTTACTATTTAAAACAAAATTGTTCTTATGAATTGCTCTATTCTTAAAGACATTAAATAGCCTATAATACATTTAAACGTTGTGCAAAACATTAAAACGATAATATTTCATTTTATATGAATCTACTCAAATCAGTCTCAACAAACAGCTCCCACTGTGACAACATGCCCCACTATAAAAGGAAACTAACTATATGCAGAAATGTTCAGTATTGTTTCTTTGCCTAGTCAAGACTGTTTGTGACCAAACAAAAACTTGCATAAATCAATAAATAGTGTCTAATTAGACTGCAAAAATACTCCAGGAACACAGGCAGAAGGATTTCCCGCAATGCGTTTCACCAACACAGATGTAAAATAACTTTCTTTATTTTTATTTTTCATCATTAGTTGCAAGAATGACACAAAAATGGATGGTAAATCCAAAGAAATACAGTGAAAGGAAGCATTATTGGATGTTAAGCGAGTATAATGACTGAACGGTCGTTACAGGACATCACATCAGAACAAAGCATTTACACTGAACTCCATCGATTGACCTGCAGTCGGCGTGAAAAGCACACTTCATCTGCATTCATGCACTCGTGCTTGTTTAAGATACTGTAAATGTTTGTGAGAGCGAGTGAAGCAGCCATAAAGCCCTTCTGAAGATGACGAGGCCTTCAGATCAGCTCCAGTGTGAAGCACTAAAACACTCGACGCTTCAGCGGATGATGAACTGAATATATACTGTATACGAGACATTCTGGACGGTCGGACAGCCACGTTTATTCTCTGATCAGCGTTTTCTCTCACTGTTGTTCGCTGGAACAGTCATTACTGTCGTAACCCTCCTATCGCATTCAGGTCAGTTAAAAAAAAAAAATCAGCACGTAGAATTTTAAAAAAAATCAATTGTTTTTAATTAAAGAAAAAAACTTCTCATATAGATGAAGAATATCAAAATACATATCATTAATTTTTTTCCAGATTTTTAAAAATAATTTTTAAGACATATAACCATTTAAAATAAATTGTTATGCGCTCGGGTCATTTTTGACCCGGAAGTGAATTATTTTACACAGGAATTTTGTTAATTTTTTTTTTACATCTATTAGTTAGATTTGTCTCTAATTACTTCTGTAAAATACATTTAGCCTCTTTCCAGTGTCTCTCACACACTTTTAGGACTGAATTTTGTTGGTAACTTTGAATATACAGAAACAGAGTCACTATAAACAGACTAAAGATGTAAGTGACACAAATAAACGATATCTAACGAACTCAATGGGACGAAAAGCAAGAGCTCAAAGAGCAAACAGACTAAATGTGATAAAGGAAAGAGAGTTTGAAAGAGAAGAAGTCCACATTTCACTATGCTGCACTGCAGATTCAGGCTGTCGATCATCTGGTTATAGAACTAAAATGTATGCATTTTGTTTGAAAACATTCCAGAGTAATATTTCTGTTGTTTTGTTAGAAAATGAATATGAATTTGGTCTGTTATCGAGCAGCATGGGTTGTAAGTTCAAAGGAATTTAATTAAACTCCATTCATTTCAATGGGTTTAATTCTCATATTATATGATTTTAAAAATGTAATATAATGGTATATTAAAATACAATTTCTCATGAATGTTTAAAAAAATATATACTTGTTTTTCGCATCGCATTGGTTTTGCTGTAGTTCTTGTAAAATGTGAAATTTCCAATAATTATTGAGTTTTCTCAAATATTAAAAAGGGGTAAAACACTGTAACATTTAAAACTTGGATTTTTTTTTTTTTTTTGCACATTCACTCATTAATGAGAAGTTGCTGATCAGATACAATATGGCTTTAGATGCAAAAAATCTTAAGTTATGACTGTTTTACAAGCTCACGTTTCACCAATGCAAAAATGCGATAGGAGGGTTAAATTTAAACAAACGTTACCCTGTCAATATTTTATCATGGCATTCGAGCTGGCGATACAATTATCCCAATACTTTTCGGACAATAATCAGTATATAAATGTTTAAACCTAAAAGTAAAACAGAGTAAAAATCTAATTCAAACAATCAAAGCATGTTTGCAACAGTTGCACACTAAACGAACACAAATGATACTGAATCATTTTCATTTATACACACCAACAATACAGAATAATAAACAGCAATATTTACAGTACATTAAATACTATGTGCAGTACATAGTATTTTTAATAAAACATTTGAATGACTTTTCGGAAGGAATTGTTGAATCGGACAGTTTGAAATGATTCACTCGAATGAATCACATGCGAACACCAAGCAAAAAGTGCAATAAAATCATCGCAATACTCACAATGTTGGCTCATTTTCACCAGCAAATCATCACAAATGCATTCAATACATCGCCCAGCTCTAAACGGAAAACACATTACATCCATGACTCCAAATAATACTTCTCATGTAGTATGTGTTCACACAGAAACAAGCTCAGATCGCTTTAGCCCTTAATTAACATCATTAGCATTGGTTTGTTTTATTGTGGACGTGACCAGTGACTCAGCTCACACTTTGTTCGGCTGATTTGACCTGTGTATTTGACTCGTGATTCATTAGACGGATGATTCTGAAGTCCTGTAACGAGCGTCAGTCATCGTACTGTGAATGAATCTTTTACATCATGTCAGCACATATATGTGACGTCACGTCCTCCGGTAAAACCATGAGATTAATCACGCTTCATTATTCACCGGCTCGTTCTTTACCCTCCTGCTGATTCACTCGGAGGTCACAAGTTGAAGGAAATCGTACATTGGACTTCATGACCGGCGTTCTTAACCTGATTGTCACTAATGTAATGCGACAATACAGAATATTAAACATCTCCATTAAGAAAAGCCTACTGAGGTACCAATACATTTCTGTGACGGTTCAAGTGAATACAGAGCCTTACACTGGAAACACCTGCTGCATCACATCTAAATGATGGTGTGTGAATGTTCTTAACGGATTTAACAAAGAAACATCGAAATACCCTAAACAACAGCACACTTGACTTTTAAAGCAGTATTTCACTTAAAAACGAGCATGTGCTGAAAATGTGCTCAACCTCAGGCCATCCGAGATTAGGATGAGTTTGTTTCTTCATCAGGTTTGTATTGCATCACTTGCTCTGCAAGTGAATGGGTGCCGTCAGAACGAGAGTCCGAACAGCTGATAAAAACATCAGAATAATCCACAGCACTCCAGTCCATCAGGTAACATCTGGAGAAGACAAAAGCTGAAACAAATCCAGCATTAAGACGTTTTTAACTAAAATACATAGAGTCCATAATCCATAATAACTCTTCCTCCAGTGAAAAAGTGTTCTGGTGTGAATCAGGAGAGAAATCTGCACAGATCAAGCAGCGTTTAAACAGCTCTAAACACATATGTGGCTGGATTTTGATGTGAGAGACAACAGCAGATGCACTTTTTCACTGGAGGAAGTTATTATGGATTATGGACTCTATGTGTTTTAGTTAAAAGCATCTTAATGCTGGATTAGTTTCAGCTTTTGTCTTCTCCAGATGTTAACTGATGGACTGGAGTGCTGTGGATTACTTGTGGATTATTGTGATGTTTTTATCAGCTGTTTGGACTCTCATTCTGACGGCACCCATTCACTGCACATTTTCATTTTTGCATGAACTATTACTTTAAATAAATGACTTCTGAACATCTTTGACCGTAAGTCAGCTTTTGACGTTTTCATATTTCGTTTTTAACCATATGCATGAGCAATATTACCATTATGTGTAAATCTATTAAAAAATAGCCCATGCAAAGTTGATTTTAATGCCAATGCATTTCTGTAGAAAGTACAGTAGCATTGATTCAATTAGATAACGAGCAGCTTCGACGCTTCCAGTGTCACACTTTATTTTCACGTTGGCTTTGCAGGAGGACGCTCACATTATGATGCTTATAAATGGTTGAATCCTAAATGTTGTGCTTCCTTTGACTCGTACATAAAACATCTCATATAAATCAGAGCTTCTTTACATATACAAGTTGTACAGTTACCAAACCGGCGTGTTTCTGCCTGTTTTTAATATTTTCAGCAATGCAAGGGAGACGACGAGAAATAAAGACAGTTAAAGTCAGAACATTTCAATGTAAATCAGAAGAAACGAGACACAGCTTCTTGTCAAAACATTTTCATAACACGTTTCTTTTTTTTTTTTACAACAAAGCGGTCGGTCGAGCGCTCAGGTAGATACCGCCAACGATTTTCACAGTTCGTGTGTAAAAGCTGAGACACATTCTGGGTAGAGTAATAAAATATTATTATAATTATGAATATTTTGTATTTTTTCTCTCAGAATGCACATTGTTCGGTATATAAATGACAGAGGCATGACAGTTCGGGATGGAGAGCGTTGAGGGGCGATAGAAATGAGTATAAAATAGCCCATCGCAGATGTTAGAAACATGGACGTTTGGTGTTGATGGCCAGGCTAACGGATCGGTTTTTTAACCTGAAGGCACTTCTTTTTTTAATGGCAGAAACTCTGTCACTCAACTGGTGCTGGGAACGATGACGAACCAAGTCTTTTCACCGCAAGGTTCTCCGCTTGGGAACGTGAGCACAGTGTTGAGAAATCAGGCTGCTACTGGAGTCTGGGAATAAAGCGAAATGATTTGCGTTTTAAAGCAGCGATCCAAACCAAACCCAGGACAAATCAAGAGTTACAACAAAGCGGTCGGTCGAGCGCTCAGGTAGATACCGCCAACGATTTTCACAGTTCGTGTGTAAAAGCTGAGACACATTCTGGGTAGAGTAATAAAATATTATTATAATTATGAATATTTTGTATTTTTTCTCTCAGAATGCACATTGTTCGGTATATAAATGACAGAGGCATGACAGTTCGGGATGGAGAGCGTTGAGGGGCGATAGAAATGAGTATAAAATAGCCCATCGCAGATGTTAGAAACATGGACGTTTGGTGTTGATGGCCAGGCTAACGGATCGGTTTTTTAACCTGAAGGCACTTCTTTTTTTAATGGCAGAAACTCTGTCACTCAACTGGTGCTGGGAACGATGACGAACCAAGTCTTTTCACCGCAAGGTTCTCCGCTTGGGAACGTGAGCACAGTGTTGAGAAATCAGGCTGCTACTGGAGTCTGGGAATAAAGCGAAATGATTTGCGTTTTAAAGCAGCGATCCAAACCAAACCCAGAACAAATCAAGAGACGGTCAACCAGAAGAAGATGAGATGTTTTGTTGATTGTACTCCAAAGCACCAGACAACAACATCTCAAGATGGGAAAAAAGGGAAGGGGAATCGTGTGTAAAACTCAATCTTCATTCGCGAAACCGGTTTCGCTTCTCTTTCCGTTAAATCCCGATTGCGAGCCGTTGTGCTTTTCAGGTCAGTGTTCAAACCCTCGGTTGGTTCCAGACATTGGAGAATTTATTTTTAGCATTAGTTATTCTGTTTGTGGTCGTTTCGTTCCGTGTGGATCCGGTGTTGTGCCTTCTCAGCGATCCGAAAGCATGAATCTTTGGTGATTAGATATTGAGGGACATGTCTGGAGTCTTTTCTCACGTGGAGCGTCACCTCAGACCGATGAATACGGTAAAAAACAGCGTGACGCTCAATGGCCATATACTGGAGACGCTGTGTGCAGCCACTCCTCTGATCGCTGTGGGAAACACACAGAGAAAGAGATTACCACTAACCAGATAACCAGATCAAAACTCACCAGTATGATGCCTGGGACTGCCATGTGTATGCGTATGAGTTGCTAATACTGAATGTTTGTTGGTGTGTTAACTTACGGTAGCCGTCGACTTCCACACTACTGTGGACGGCAGTTCTACAGTTAACTGTTTGATTAACAACATTCTTTAAAACATCTTCTTTTGTGCTCATCAGAAATTAGAAACTCATACAGGTTTGGAATGACATAAGGGTGAGTAAATGATGACCGAATTTTCATTTTTGGGTGAACTGTCCCTTTAAAAATGTCCCTGCCATTGACGGAATTTTCTGGCTTTCCGTATTTTAACTGTTATGCGCTAGGAGGCGCTATTACACATCTTCTGAAAGAGTATTTCATCTCTGGATCAAAACACAGGTGATGAAGCAGCAGAAACAAGTGATCGCGTATGTAAGCAGATGCATATGTAAAATAACACGATCATCAAACATTAAACACTATATAAATCAAAATTGCCTAACGTTACCAAATGAAATGTTTGTAATCTGGATGTGATCAACTCTATTCAAGATTGATCTGAATACAATCCAGATTTTCAAAAATGAGATTTTCTCAGCTTTTTGTTCAAAAGGTTGAAGGTTGCATTTGCATATTTTTTAAATATTATTTTTATATTATTAAAAATTTATTATTTAATTTATATATATTTTTTTTTTTGCATATTTGCATACAGACATGGTTGACAGCTGTTAATGCACATTCATCGTTTTACATAATAAATAAAATGCATTAATTCTATTATTACTTTTATTAATTATTTTATTTTTTATAGGTATATTTAATGGGTGCAGAGTGAGCACCAAACCAAATCTCCAGGTGCTCTCAAGAGAACCAGACCCGAAAAACATATATGCATCCCTATTCATATATTCATACAACAAAATATTGCGGGGGCAATGAAAGTTTTGTGAAAATTTTAAAAAATGCAGGTGGTGAATGGCAACTTAAAAAAATAAAAACGCTGGCGGGGAAGAGTTAACGCCTGCTTGACTCCGTAAACAGCACTCAAAAGTGTCTCTGTGATGTTTTTCACACATTCGGTTGTTCAGGTAAATGTCTGAACTGTATTTCTGCGATTCATAATCATCCTCCAGTGCATATTATTACTGCATGGTTTGATCATTCTCTAGATATCCACGATCTCACAACCAGATCAATATGAGACATCTCTTACAGTCACGCAGCTTTGGATAACAATGGAAAACCTGATGCCTAATAAATAATGATTATCACATAACTTCACTTCATGATTACAGCTCTAGTTTGGCTCCAGAAGGAAGGTTTTTCATTTGCTCTCATGTTTCCAGCAGAAGCTCTCGCCGTCGCTCTTGTCAATTCCAGCCCATTACCTGGCCTCATTTCTGCTTTTCTCGCTGTTTGTTCTCGTGTAATTACGGAGCTCTCCCGGACAAAATTGTGCTACACGTAATTACGGCCTGGTTACCATGGAGATGCATGCTCGATACATACGATTGGACGGAGGGTCAGGACACTCCCCCTCCTCGAGCGTGACATCATCGATGGCGATGTCCCCCTCGATCCCGGGGCCGCGGATGCCCTCGAACATCACCTGTGTGATGGAAACAGAACAAACAAAACAAAGCTCGTCTCAAGAGCCTCTTCTGGACTCGACAGCATCCTCCATAAGGTACAAGAGGTTGTGCTATTAGGCTATTTTCAAAATACAGCATTACCTCAAGTGCCTTACTGTTTCATACAATGCTTTGTGACTTCATAAAAACATTTAGGACATAAAATTGCATTAAAACATTACATATATATTTATGTTTACAAAAAAGTATAAATATAACAGTAAGATTTAGTTTTTTGTTTTTTAAAAAAAGAAGTCTCTTTTGCTCACTAAGGCTGCATTTATTTGATTAAAATTACAATTTCAAATATCTGTGTTCTATGTGAATATCTGTTAAACTGTCATATATGTGACCCTGCAGCACAAAAGCAGTGTTAAGTCGCTGGGGTATATTTGTAGCAATAGCCAACAATACATTGTATGGGTCAAAATTATTGTTTTTTTTTTAATGCCAAAAATCATTAGGATATTAAGTAAAGATCATGCTCCATGAAGATATTTTGTATGTTTCCTACCGTAAATATATAAAAACTTAATTTTTGATTAGTAATATGCATTGCTAAGTACTTCATTTGAACAACTTTAAATATTTAGATTTTTTTTGCACCCTCAGATTCCAGATTTTCAAATAGTTGTATCTCGGCCAAATATTGTCCTATCACAACAAACCATACATCAGTGAAAAGCTTATTTATTCATATGTATACATCTCAATTTTGAAAAATTGACACTTAAGACTGGTTTTGTGGTCCACGGCCACATATTTCTGTGATCAAAGCTGTATTTTCAGCATCATTACTCCAGTCTTCAGTGTCACATGATCTTCAGAAATCATTCTAATATGCTGATTTACTGCTCGAGAAACATTTCTGATTATTATCAATGTTGAAAACAGTTGTGCTGCACAATATTTTGGTGGAAAATTGATAAATTTTATTTTTCAGGATTTTTTCAGGAAAAAATCTTTTGTTACATTATAAATGTCTTTACTGTCACTTCTGATCAATTTAATGCGTCTTTGATGAATAAAAGTTTAAATTTCCTTCAAAACTGACCCCAAACCTTTCATAAAGGCTTTATAAATACTCAATGAATGTGAATTTCTCCGTGTTATCCATACAGTTCGCTCACCTGGAAGGAGGCAGTAGGATGGATGCTAATTTTGGCTTGTCTCCATCGGTCCCCTTGGTTCCCGCTGAGAGACCAGGCTGGACCGGCATCTGAAGTCGACTGACCTTTCTGCTTCACAAACGCATTCAGAGTGCCTGCGGGAAAATACAATCAATTAATTTAACAACTGACCTCCTCAGTGCCGTCCGACAGAAGAGCTGAAGAGCGCAAGTCAAATTGCGAATCAATCCAGGTACAAACACATGCTGCTGGCAGAGGACTGTACTTGGTTTATACCTGCTCGAAGCTGTGGGTTGGTTAATTAACTGTCATGTTTGCTTTGGGTACTTGGGAAAGGTGTGTGGAAATATTAAGGCAAGACTCGACTCTACATTTTTTCATGAACTGGCCAGTTTTGAGGTCTATTTTGCTTCCATAACACGTCTTCTTTGAGGCTAGTGGAAAGAAAACATTTCAATTTCAATTCCAACACATATTTTCTCCATTTCAGCAGCACTTACAAACACCATAACTTAGAGTTTTATTCCTATCTATATTCTGAAGATTTTTACTGAGGGGTTTGTTCATATAACATTCGCCTGTTTTTTTTTTTTATACAACATTTTAGGTGAAAATGTATTTGTTTTCTGTCTGTTGAGAGTATTTTCTGATTTATGAAGTGATAAAGAGAGAAATCCAAAATCCCCTCTGGATAAACCTTTAACTCTAATATGACAACAAAATCAAACAAGAATTTTGAACCAATGATCTGACTAGTGGAAATAAAACATCCAAAAAACACATTGCACTTTATCTATTTGCGCCTGTAGATTTCAATTCCAATCTATATCTTTAAAAGCTTTTTCCTCCATTTCAGCAGCACTTACATACACCAAAACGCCTCCAGGTTACGCATGTAACCATGGTTCCTCGAGGGAACAAGACGCTGCATTGAAGCGCTTGGGGAACGCCTTCTGTGTGACCATGCTCTGAATCACATGTGTAATCCATCCAATGGAAGGGCGAGACGTCACGGGCGGGTGACGTCAACGACCAGGAAGCTTAAAAGCACATGCGGTGGAGCCGGCGTCAGCTTCTAGGAATGAAGCAAGCGCTGGCAGGGATGCCGGAAGTATGGCACCCAGACGCAGCGTCTCGTTCCCTTCGGTGAACCATGGTTACATGCGTAACCTGGAGACGTTCCTCTTCAGGAACTCGAGCTGCGTTGAAGCACTTTGGGAACGAGAATTCCCACGCCGCCAGACTTTCAAATCTTTGCCTAGTGTGGAAGCCTGCACAGCTAGGGTGAGAGAACAGAAGAGCCAGGAGTGGCTCGCATATCTAGACCATAGAATCTGACGAAAGTAATGGGCGTGGATAAACCCGCAGCATCGCAGATGTCCTGCATCGACACACCTGCTAAAAAGGCCTTGGAGGCCGCCACACTCAGAGTAGAATGAGCCTTGACCCCCAATGGCGAGGGGAGATCAGAGGACTCGTAAGCCATGGAGATGGCATCCACTATCCACCGGCGGAGGGTCTGTTTTGTAGCTTAGGGGGACCGTAGCAAACAAGCAGTTGGTCCGCCCGTCTCCACAGGGCAGCTCTGTGGATGTATGCATCCAGCGCTCGCACTGGACACATACAATTAAGCTTCTGCAGGTCGGGCTCCCGGAAGGGAGGAGGACAGAAGGCCTGAAGTACGATAGGCTGTGGTGCAGATGAGGGGACTTTAGGGACATACTTCACTCGAGGGTACAGAAACACTTTGGCCAGACGGGGCGCAAAGTCAAGATAGGAAGGGGCCACTGAGAGGGCCTGCAAATCCCCAACTCTCTTTAGAGAAGATATCGCCAGAAGAAAGGTAGTCTTTATAGTAAGGTGGCGATCAGAGATCTCCTCAATTGGCTCGAACGGAGGCTTACAGAGAGCTTCCAGCACCATGGCCAGGTCCCACGTGGGGATGCGAGATCGTACAGGAGGCCTCAGCCTCAGCGCACCATGGAGGAAACGTGTAACTAGGGGGTGTCTTCCCACTGACTGGCCACCGAGAGGGACGTTGTAGGCCGCGATGGCCGCCACGTAGACCTTCAGGATGGAGTGGGTCAACCCTGCAGAGAAACAGGCCTGCAGGAACTCCAGCACTGTACCAACTGGGCAGTTAACTGGGTTGAACTGGCGGTCTCTGCACCAAGAAGTGAAAAGTTTCCACTTCAAGGCATACAGTTTCCTAGTGGAGGGAGCTCTGGATTGGAGGATGGTCTCAACATCAGGTCCGAGAACCATACTCAGCCTGGCCAGAACGGAGCTACTAGCAGTAGATGGACCCCGTCCCGGCGCACTCTCTCCAGAACTCCTGGGAGCAGAGCGATCGGGGGAAAGGCATACAGATGAAGCCTCGGCCAAGTCTGTACCATGGCATCCAGCCCCAGTGGAGCTGGATGAGTCAGAGAGAACCAGAGGGGACAGTGCGATGTCATCTGAGTCGCAAACAGGTCCACCTGAGCCTGGCCAAAAATTCTCCATATCTGCTTCACCACCTCGGGGTGATGCATCCATTCCCCGGGCCTCGGCCCCTTGGGACCACACAAGGATCTGGTGCGCCAGCTTGTACAAGGGTCGCGAATGCAGCCCTCCCTGGTGGTTGATGTAAGAGACCACCGCTGTGTTGTCGGTGCGCACCAACACATGGTGACCTCTTAGGTCTGGGAGAAATTGTTTTAGTGCTCGAAACACGGCCAGCATCTCCAGACAATTGATAAGCCACGTCAGATGGCGACCACTCCACCGACTGCGGGCAGGGTGGCCACTCATGACCGCACCCCAACCAGTGAGAGACGCGTCCGTCGCGAGCGTTACGCGGCAACAAGGAGCTCCCAGCACCGGGTCCTGAGACAATGTGAGCGATATCCTCTTATCCTCTTAAATCGACTCCTCTCTCATTATATTCCAGCAGCCGCTCCGCAGGGATAAACTGTCTTGTTTAGAGATGAATGAGGTGTTGTGGTGGTTCTGGAGGTAACTGGGTCTATCGGCATGAGGAACGCGACTAATGAAAGCACTGTGACCGCTGTGACGACGAGTGTTTGCCATGAGCTCTGGGATTTAATCCAGTAAACAAATGCAAAGAGAAAGAACTCCACAGGCACACTGATGTGGGACTCATTAATTAGCTGTGACCCGAGCGCAGGTAACGTCAGGCCCACATCTACTGCACACCGATTCACAGCTCACCACATTTTCTGTTTTTGTCTTTTTCACAGCTGTATATTCAACCATATGCACAACAAATATCGCAGTCTTTATCTGTGCAGGTTCAAAGCGCTCATTAATCTTTAAAACTTTCATAAGAGCAAGTGGGAAAACTCTGTGAATTTAAACATGGTATAATGTGTTAAAAAGACTTCAGTATTGTCATTATTAACTAAAACTGTTTCCAGTAACTGAAATAAAGCCAAAATAAAATAAAACACAAAAATTAGATTAAAAAAATACTTAAACTTCAATGAAAATTAGTAATTTTGCTTTGGCAACTAGGTAAAATGAAATATGTTTAAATTACTAAAACTAAATTATTCAAACTGAAATAAAAAAAGAATGAAATCTAAATAAAATTATATTTAAAAAATAATAAAAATGACAAAACCACAAAATTACTAAAACTCACACTAAAATCAAAGTGAAAAAAATATAAATAACTTAATAACAATGATAATTTGTAATGTTGCAACTAACTGAAAATTTTTACTAAAACTAAATTACTAAAATTGAAATAAACTAAATTAAAGCCACATAGAATTATAACTTTTTTAAAAAGACAATTAACATAAATAAAACTCTTAAAACTTACACTAAAATCTAAATGAAAATGGAATGGAAATCATTTTGAGTAATAAAAAAAAAACTAAATTAATAAAATAAACTATCAATCTATTGAAAACTATGAATATTGTTACTGAAATAAAGAAATAAAGAACTGAAATAAAGCTGAAACAAAATAAAAGACAAATATTAGATAAATTAAAAAAAACTGAAATGAAAATTAGTAAAATAACAAGTTTAAATTTCTAAAACTGAATTAATAAATAAAGCTAAATAAAAAATGAATATAAACAAATTTTAATATAATATTTATAATTATAAAAAATTATGAATTAACAAAACTAACAAAAAAGAAAAAGAAAAAAGACAATAAATAATACATAAAAACAAATAAAAAAAGCTAATTCAAAACATTAATAAATACTAAATATTGCTGCTGAGAGTATTATTGACAGCTGAAAGCATCATCAGAATCAGCTAAATAAGTCAGAGTGGGGTTAGTTGTCACATGCTGTAATTCTCACTCCAGCAGTATTTTTGAGTTTTCATGTCAATCATGTGACAACATGCCCCACTATAGGGGTCAAAGCGTGTTCAATAAACGCAAGAATGGATTTCTGAAGAGTTTGAGGTTTAGGCTGCAGGAGCCAGATCTGTGTCACGTGAAGTGATAATGTGAGACATGGCTGTAGTGAGTCAGAGCTCGTACCGATGTGTTTGCCGTACATGTGGTAGTAGAAGCTGAAGCAGTACGCCGGCGGGCTGCTGATGCTGTAGGGGTTTTTAGGGGCCACGCTGAACGTGGGGCTCAGGAGACGAGCCGTATCGCCCTCTTTTCGAGGTCTGGACGTCTCAATGTACATGTAGAAGCCTGATAACCACACAAACACAATCATGAGACACGTGCTGTAACACATGCGCTTAACTGCAGCAATATAATTGCACTTTCTTCCCCAAATTATCATTACTGGAATGCCAAACAAAAAAATAAAAAATATATATTTATCAATTAGATATTTTTTTTACATATTTATATATGTAATGTATAATAAACTATATTTTACATAAACTATATATACATACTAGACAGTATATACTGTATTTGATAATAGAAATAAAATATATTTTTGAATTTTAGAAATATAATTTTATAATGGAAATAAAATTAATAATTATTATTAAAATAAAGAAATAAATATTATTTTAAATATATTATATCCGTAATTTATATATTAAAAACTATATATTAAAAAGTATAAAGTAATAATTATTAATAAAAATAATAAATAAATGAATTAATAAAATTATTATTATTACTGTAAATAAATTATGATTTATATATATATGTATATATATATATATATATCTTTGGCTTCACCAGACAATATAAACACAAACAAACAAACATCAAACAAATATACGTTAAATACACAAAAACATTATAAAAGATCTCAAATTTGACTTCAACATACACTAATTATTTTCTATAAAATATATTTCAACATATGCACCAATGTATATTATAATGAGTACATTTGTATGCATTATTATATTTTTTCCCAATTGTAATGCATCTGTTTACAAAAACAAATGGAAAACGTGGAAAGAAAATCTAAGAAAAAAATCAAAGAAATCAAAGAAAAAAATTGATTTGTGACAGATTCATAAATGATTTAATACTGTAAATGAATGATTTATTACTAGGTATAAAAGTGAAGCGGGTGTGTTTCATGCCATTCGTCTCATTCGTGTCTATTGTAATGTGCGGTGCACTGAATGGCATTGATGACTGTTCTTCAGATCGTCGTGAAAACCCCTCCAGCCAAAACCACAGAGTTTCCTCTCTTGAATGCGACGAGCGGTGATTAAAGTCTCTGTAGGACTCTTGAGGAGAATGAAACGCCGGACAGTCTGGAATCATCAGCTGATTAAAGCACATGTATTATTTACACGAGCGGCGCTCGTCCCGTCATCAAACGCTCGTGTCAATAACGAGCAGCTCGTCGCTTCATCGAGGGCTTGTCTCGCTTTGGGAACAGACAACCTCATCTAACAAGCTGAATTTCATCCGAATGAAATCACTCTGAGCGCTAACTGGAACTCGGCAGTTATGAATGTAATTCAAGATGAGTTCAGAAATCAGCATGAGGATTAGAAACCAGACGCATCCGGAGAGACTCGGAACCCTGCTTCGGGTGTAATTCATGTATTTTGTGTATAAACTACATATTTGTGACCCTGGAGCACAAAAGCAGTGTTAAGTCGCTGGGGTATATTTGTAG